TGATTGTAATTTTAGGTTATTTTCACTGCTTCAGCCCAAACTGTAAACACCTCATCTGTAAGCGCATCATCACCCTGCAACAATCATACTAATCCAGGTTTCCAGCAATCCACTCATAAGCGTGTGTGTGTGTGTGTGTGTGTGTGTGTGTGTGCTGCAGCGGTGATACCATGTGATCACAATCATTTCAACTACTGGATTTGGTCCAACTGTGAATTTTTGGGAGAGGGCAAATCTGTCTACAACCTGACCAGCTTACAGTATATCTGCCAGTAGTAAGAAGGACAAATGGCAAAGAGAAGACTAAATACTGAACAAACATAAAGATGGGAACCATTTCTATGACAAAGAAAATGCTTAATACAACAGAGTGAGGAGATAATTGTTCAAGAAGTAGCAGCCAAACTGTTAGAAGTTTCTCCGCAAAACATAGCACTACATTTCAGTCATTCAACAGATGCTTTTGTGTAAAATAACTTCTATGTTTGTCTATAATACCAGTACTGGAAAGTAGTGGAAATCCTTTTTGACCTATATTCAATTGAATACAGTACAAAGACAAGTTTTCTTTAGAATTTCTTTTGCCTTTTTGCCTTTATTTGTTAGGACAGCTTCAGAGAGAAAGGGGGAGAGAGGGGATGACATGCAGCAAAGGACCCGCGGCTGCTGTGGCAAGGACATATCCTTAGTACATGGGTTGCCTGCTCTACCAGGTGAGCTACTGGGCGCTTTCAGAATGATATCTAATGTTCAAACTGAGAAACTTAACTGTTTTTTGTAAATATACACTCACTGTAAATCAGATGTCTGAGACCCTTTCCAAAAAAAGTTGGAACAGGAGCATGTTTACCACTATGTTTATCACCTTTTATTTAACAACACTCAGTAAGTATTTCAGCCCTGAGGACTCTAATTGTTGAAGTTTTGAAAGTAAAATTCTTTGTCATTCTTGCCTGAAGTATGACTTAAGTTGCTCAACAGTATGATCAAATTTTGTCCACGTTTGTGTCGGGATTGGCTGCAGACTGACTTGGCAGAAATGGCTGCCATCTTAATTTTACATGGAGCAGTGTATTGTGCTCTAACACTAGATGAGGACAACAGGTTTAAGTTAAGTAGAATGAAGTATAAGGTCAAGTAAACCCAAGGAGGAGGACGCAGAGTTTCAGGAGGATATAAACAAGAGTTAACTTAACATCACCTCTCAGTTTAATGCAACATTATAGCCTTCAGTAATGCAGGATTTATTGCAGGGTTGTTGTATTAGACTGTGTTACTTCTAGTTAGGTGTATCTAATAAACTAGCTGTTGTAGAATAAATGGTTGTGCAGTATAGACATAAAACATGCCATGGGTGTTATGTTGTTGAGTATTTACAATGCCTATTGAGGCATTTTCAGCTTTAAGGTTACTGGTATGACTAAATTCTAAATTATTCTCCTCTTTTTCATCTCTTATTTCTCAGATATCTAGACTTTTGGTGTCTCACACTCACATGAATCATGCTGTTGATGGACACTATTTTAAATCCATTCACATTCAGGTTTGCTGAATCATCCTGCACACTCAGCACGTGCAAATACTCCTCTGCTGTCATCAGACACTATATGCCAAGAGGAAGACAAGGAGGGGGAGGAGGAGAAAGGCCCAGGGTCAGCAGAGATGCGACCTCCCCTGCAGGCTCATGTGGCAGCTGTGTTTCTGAGCTGAACAATGGTCGGGAAGGGTTCACCGAAGGCAGCCAGCAGCAGCCACTGTAATCGCAAGTCGTGCTGATGTGACGTTGACAATTAGGTCAGCCCATCGGTGGACTTAATGCACGGTAATAACTAATAAATCTGGTGAGGAGAGGGGAGGATGGAGAGGATGGATGCTGCCTTTTGGGTACCATGTTGGCAGCTCGCCTCTTGTGACGCCGGCCTGCTCCACATATGCTTCTAAAAATGAAACCTAACCCCCCCCATCGCCTGTCAGTCTGCTGATCACAGCCCAGCCTGTGATGGCATGGCTGCCCTAAGAGCATCTTACGTTTGTAGAACTGAAACGAGCACATCGGGAAAAAAGCCAAAATGTGCGATCTGAAACGTAAATATTGCTGATGATGATGATGATGCAATGGACACCGTCCAATGCGAGGCTATAATCTGAAAACGCATCTACTGAAAATGCATTCTCAACATCACTAAAAAAACCCGAAAATAAATAGATAAAAATGATGTCTCTTACCTCTATGCTATCCTCTGATGGCCGTAACAGGATGGATGAGGAGGAAGCGCAGGTGCAGGGATGCAGAGCGACGCCCAGGGAAACAGAAACATGAAGCAGTTATTGATTCTCAATACAACACTTGGCTGTGATTGAAAAACTGAAACCGAACTCACCTGTTTTCACCGGGATCCGGCTTTTGTACCTGATGTTGCTCGTCATGTTGACCGCTCTCCTCCCTCGATTTTCACCGAAGCGACGGCTCACAGAAAGCGGCCCCTCGCCTCGCCTCCAAACCCCGGACAGACAGCAGGAGGGCGGGCAGAGCTGACAGATGAAAGCCCCTCCTCCTCCACACACACTCAGCCAGTCACACTACAGAGTTTCATACAAGCAGGGGGTCCTACAGGGATGCCACGAGGGGGTTAGGGTCCAAACACTAAAATCAGTTTATTTGACACAGTATCAAGTAAGAAATAGCAGCCAAAAAAGCTGGCAGTGCTTATTTGTTTCAAAGATAAATCATTGAAAATAAGTCTCAATAATAACATTAATATCAATTATTTTGCCAACAATCATAGGTCAACACCTGCTATAAAAAAAGAATCTGACACAAACAGTTACTTACCTTTCTCCAGCTTCAAAGTTACCTTTGCCAGTTGTTTCTATTTTACTTTATAACACCCTAAAGACTTTTGCCATAGCTCACAGTATTTAAGGGTTTTTATTGTGGCCTGCTGATGAGATAGGGCCACAACTCCTCAACGAGACTGAAAAACATCTTTGACATCTCCTCACTTGAAGCTGCTAAGACAAAGCCTGGAGTCAAGTTAAGGCTTGTACAAGGTTCCTTGAACTAATTCACTGAATTTTAAGTTCAAACTCAGTCTTAAGTGTTTCCCCGATGTGAACAACCAAGTTATAAATACTTATTCAACCAAATTTTCTGAATGTTAAGTATATAAAAAAAATACATCAGCGAGGATCATATCAAAGGGAAACTTCAGATTTTTCAACCAGGACCCAAATCCCTGGCAGAAGTCGCTGAGGTACTCAAAAAGCTCCACAGCCACAAGGCGCAGGCTGTGGGTGAGATTCACCTTGAAATGCTGAAGGCTCTGGACATGGTTGGGCTGTCTTGGCTGACATGCCTTTTCGGTGTCCGGAGGGTGTGCTCCAACTATCGGGGTATCAGACTGCTCAGCCTCCCAGGAAAAGTTTACTCCAGGGTGCTTATGAAAGGAGGCTCCAACTGATTGTCGAAACTCGGATTTAGGAGGAGCAATACAGATTCCGTCTTGGCCATGGAAGAGTGCTCTTTACCCTTGCAAGGCTGCTGGAGGGGTTGTGGGAGTTAGCCCATTCAGTCTACATGTATTTTGTGGACTTGGAGAAGGCTTATGACTTGTGTCTCTTGGGGAGTCCTGTGGGGGGTACTGCGGGATTATGGGGTACCGGGGTGCAACCGCTACTAGACATAAAGTCAAACACGTTCTCAGTGGGTGTTGGCCTCCGCCAGGGTTGTCCCTTGTCACCGATACTCTTTGTGATTTTCTTTGACAGTATCTCGAGGCGTAGCTGGGGGGAGGAAAGGGTCCAGTTTGGGGACCTAAGAATTGTGTCTCTGCTTTTCGCAGATGATGTGGTTCTGTTGGCTTCATCACACTGTGACCTCCAGCATGCACTGGGGTAGTTTGCAGCCGAGTGTGAAGCAATCGGGATGAGAGTCAGCATCTCCAAATCAGAGGCCATGGTTCTCTGCTGGAAGAGGGACGTCTGGGGTGCTTTGCTTGGCCTGCTACCCCCACGGCCCGAATAAGCGGATAAAAATGTAAGGATGGATCGACCCTATTTTCCTACATTTTTGTGTGGAAGTGATAAATGGAGACTACTAATTCTGAAACTGGTCCAGTATTGAGAGAGACCGCTGCAACCTTAGGGGCAGACCTGCTGCAATGTATTCTCTACAGGCCACTCACTTTGCATCGTCAACTTAGGTCCATTGAAAGTGCTTGTTTTTTTTCCACTGACAGGCTCAGACTGTTATTCTACGTGTCTAAAATCATTACAGAAAGGACCCTACAAAGAAATTAATGTTTTTCTTGGCCTTTCCTTGTACTGGTCTGTTTCTTGTGTGTAACCAAGTCTTGCTCAAGGCTAAGTCTCATTCTGAAATCTTGTGGACTTTTCCAGTATTGAAATCAGCTGAATATTCAGCCATGACATTGAAAATCTTTCACATAACATTAAGCTACGCTTTTTGTATTCTAACAGAAATAACTCTTCCCAGCTCTCCTCTTTCCAACTGTCACTAACCTTTCCACCATTGTCTTTCCAGCAACAAGTCACCTCTCTTGAGATTTAAGAGTGAGACTTCTCCTTGAGTGAGACTTCATCACACTAACAAAAAGATCAGTGAAAGGTAAAGTAAAACATCTAATTTCTCTATAGGGTCTTTTCCATAATGCTGTCAGATACTTACAATAGCAATCTGAGCCTGTTAATGGCAAAACAAGCACTTTTTGTTGACAAATATTGACGGTACAATTGCTCGTAGGTATTACATTACAACCTGTTTTACTGCGCCGCTGCTGCGCTCTGTCCACATACTGGACCAATTCCAAAAACTGTTGTCTCCTTTAAAACATGGAAACAGGATCCAGTTTAAACAATACTGAAGGTTCCCTTTAAAGTCAGAGGAGACATACATTGTTTTCTTTCTGACTGAATCTCCAGTGTTGACTAATAACAACTAAACATGTTAGTCATTCAAAAGTGAGCCCAGAATTCACAAGTTTTTTTTCCTCTAAACAAATTTTATTCCAGATAGAAAAAAGTTCATGTCTAAAAACAAGTCTTAACCGACATTAGTGAGTTCAACAGAGAGATCTGTATACAAGAGCAAAAGACAGAAAAAACAGAATAATGCCAGTAGCACATCAGTGACAGTTAGATGGCACTGCTAAACAGAAGGCTGGAGGGTGTTTACACATATAACAGTTAAATATTAAAGAATCGGATTTTTAAATGGGAAAGTCCAAAATACAGTATAGTAAAAGACTGCACATGTAACACACAAACAGACCATTTCACATATTAAATGACATCACTGACACATATTAAGTTACTTTATAGTGTAATTTTGTTTCAGTATGTAGTTGTAGTTTGACACTGACAATAAAGATCATGCAGCTCTTGATGATAAATGCAAAGGTATTACGAACATGGCACTTTATTCAGCTGTAACATAATCCTAAAGTAGTATTAGTTTGATTACTTGCATATAGTAGCTTTCACCCTATGAGCCAAATAAACACCTAAAATTATGTTCGTAGTGTTGGAAGTAAGGTTTGTAGCCTAACACAATCAAGGACAAATATGTTGACTGGAAAACCAGATACAAGAGCATTCATTATTCTCAGCATGGACAGTTTACCTCATTTAAAACCACACTTAACCTTTCAGTGTAGTAATATGTAGTTTTGCATCATCAGACTGAAGGCACTGAACCATCCAGAGGTAAACATGATGGGCTACTGAAATATTCATAAGCTAAAAGAAAACATGAGAAGCAAACTGTTTTTTTTTTTTTTTTTTAAACTTTTAAGTTAGCAGAATAAATGGAGGATGGTGTCATCTGAAGCTCGGACTTGAGCAAAATGCATAACTCATACATATAATTTTGTAAACATCATAGTGTGATGGCAAACCTCTTCGTACCATTGTCACTTGCAGCTCCGTGGAGTCATAATTAAGATCAAAGTCTAAATAACAGATAGATTTATGATAATGATCCAGTATTATATGTTTATTGTGTTCACGTTTTTAAAAATTTTGCCCAGTCGAATTAAGCAAACTCTAACACACGTAATAAGACAATATGTGGATTTAAGTGAAGTCTTGACAATAAGTTCAAGAAGCTCCTGAACAGCTGATGGATGGATATTTGAAGGGAAGAAGAAGTGATGGTGTGCAGATAAAGATGATGAGATCCTGGATACCTGGACTCCTGGTGGATCTGTGGCATGGCAGAGAGCAGGGATGGATTCAAAGGAGGACCAGGTGTATGTGTACCTGCGTGTGTGCCTGCGTGTGTGTGTGTGTGTGTGTGTGTGTGTGTCTATGTGTGTTGCGGAGGTTGAGATCACCATGTCTCCCTTCTGCTCATGCTCGTTCACTCGTCTGCTTTCATCTTCATCTGTGCCTGCATCTGAGCAATCATCTGCTGCATACGTCTCAGCTGCAGACAGAGAGGAAAAGAGTTTTTAACCATTTTCACATAAATAAGTGTCAGTTTTGTTTTTCACTTAGATTGCTCTCTCTCAAAAATATTCAACGGATTACAGTCTAAATGTTTCCCTCTTTTATTTCTCAATATAGTGCTGCCAATGTCAGTAGCTGATCAGAAATATACTTGAACCGGTTTTAGGCAACATAATCCAGAAACAATTCAGTAAACATTCAGTAGTGGGTAGATGTTTCCAGGGAAAAATCCTCTGCAGGCAAGTTAAGTGTTTCATGTTTCTACAGAAGGTGACCTAGGTAACCAGATCTGCTGATATTTAAGGTGTTTAAAGAAGTATTTCCCTGCTGGAAAGATGGTCTTTTCATAAAACTGGGCTGTGTGTGCAGCAGAAAGATGCAAATTCTTTCGAAATTGTGCTTCATGACAAAAGAATGAGAAATGAGAAAACAGAGGAAAAAGGGCGGTGGCATTTGCGTTGCTCAAGAGGTAGAAAACCTACAACTACCAGAATGCATTGTGCTGTACCGGACCAATAAATGCTCCCACTGCTGAGTGGCATACACTGCTCCATTTACCTCAGAAGTCAGAGGTTGGAGCTGGGAATGACGTCACACCCAAGGTGATCGCTTTCCAGTACAAGTGAGAAAAACCAAGATGCTATTACCAATACCAGTCGATACCAAAGCATCAAGCTGTATTTTGTGCATACAAACACTGTAGCAACAGTGATAAAAGTTGGACAGGACTGTGTGTATGAATGTTTTAGTAAGACACAATTAAGACAGAAGCCATATTGGATTTTAAGGCCAGGGTTGGCGACTTTCTGAGTTAGAAATCTGACTTAAGGGGGGCATTCCAGTTGAGATTTCTGACTGGGAACTAGGATATCATGATTTCCTAGTACAAATAGAACTCACCTCCAATGCAGATTGGACATTTTTCTGCAGGTAACAATATGGCGTCTGGCTGGTAAAAAGTAATCTCGAATCACAGCTAATATATGTTTCTAAAAACATTTCAAATGAGAAATAGGCAACTCTGGATCGGCATCTTGGTTCATATTTCAATTAATGCTTAATTTTACACTTTGATCTCAGTTTTTTAGCCTCTGTTTTTACAATACAGGAAACAGTATAGTGCCGACTTCCTATTCACTCTTGTATTCCAGCCAAACACTGCAATAAAATGTTTCTGAAACTGGCAACAGAATTTTGGTTCATATTTGTTCTGCAGTCCTAAATTTTGACTGTTCGATCTCAGTTTGGTCTGTGTTATAGAGAGTGAGTGAGAGAAGCGGCTTACTCTTGGGATCAGCTTCCATACTCTTTGTGTTTGTGGTGGCAGGCATAAATAATGGCATAGTTAGAGCAACAGCCCTAGAGCCAACGAAAAGCCTCCGGATGACGTGCATCATGTCATGATACGCTGTATTTTGTGCACACTAACACTGTAGCAACATGTCCACAGATACTGCATCATCCATTTGATTTAAGCTGAGAGATGAGCAGGGAGATGAGTGCGAGCAAGATGGAGGGAAGTTCACCACAGTTCATTTACACATACTACCCACACTGTTATGATACATAGCTGGTTGAAAATCTGCAGTGTCCCTCTTAGAGTTACATCAAAAAAAAGAGACAGAAGTATATCTGCTGATTCAGTCTTTCGGTTTTAGTCTATAACCAGTGCAAGGTGATGATATTTTAATACCAAATGTGTTAACACCTCAAGTGAAACCAAAAGCTTAAAACAGCAGACACATATCAGTCTTTTCTTAACAGTAACTCTGGTCTTATCATCTGCCTAATTAGCATAACCTCACTGTTCTGTAAAAACCATGTCTCAAAAACATCAACGTTTCATGAGCTAAGAAAAACAGCCTAATTTTTAGCTTCGCACAATGCATTTTTTCAGATAATCTGTTTTTTTAAATGGTTTATTTAACTTAATAAATAGAATTTTTTCAAGGAACATTCAATATTTAACAGAAAAATTATAAAAGAAGTTACAGTCTATAGCGAGAGAAACAGGCCATTTAAGAGCAATCAAGAAACAAGTTATTGCTGTTTCACTTTCTAGATTAAATTAAGACAAATTGAAGAGCAGACAGGATTCCTGGTTTCAACTTGATGCCTTCACTGCTGCTAAAATGTATCAACAACAAGGTTTAGTTCTTAAACAGTTAAGGTGAATTTGAATTTACATGTCATGGTTAAACCAATATGATGCTCGTGTTATTAAAGGGTTCAGTGTGCTGTAATGTTGTATAACATGTCGTCCGACCACGTCTAAAGGCAAACCACAATGAACAAGCTAAGAAAGGAAGTTGCAATTAGAGACACAAACTTACACTTAAAATCGTATTGATCTTGAGATTTTGTTTACCATTATAAATAACCTGCTACATTACCATAAATTAACTAAACAGAGGCTACAGGTTGTCATCATTTATTTAAAGTGTAAATCAATACGTTTTAATGCGTAGCATAATCTATATTTACATCAGCACATTGTAATAGCAAATGAATAATCTATTTAAAAATGAATGAAGCATAAACTCACTGTCAAACAATAAATGAATAATGGTTGAAATGTAATAAATGTTGATGTGAAGGTAACAATGGGCCCCTAAACAAATTAATGGTCTATTAAATTAGATAATGAGGACATAAAACATACAGTTAGAACAAGCATGGATTAGTGTTGAACATTTAATCATCCTCTAGGTTTCTTTAGTATCTATCGCCATCTTGTGGATCAGCATAGAACTTCAAATTATTCATCTTCAGAGATGTTTTTTTTTTTTTTTGATGAAACTACAGTACATAGATATATACTATATACAGTACAGGCCAAAAGTTTGGACACACCTTCTCATTCAATGCGTTTTCTTTATTTTCATGACTATTTACATTGTAGATTCTCACTGAAGGCATCAAAACTATGAATGAACACATGTGGAGTTATGTACTTAACAAAAAAGGTGAAATAACTGAAAACATGTTTTATATTCTAGTTTCTTCAAAATAGCCACCCTTTGCTCTGATTACTGCTTTGCACACTCTTGGCATTCTCTCCATGAGCTTCAAGAGGTAGTCACCTGAAATGG